TAAACTCAACATAATTTTCGTTTGCAATTTTTTTGTAGATGTATAGATACATACATATATATTTAGAAAAATATAGAAACAGGGTCCCCATTCAACATACTATGAAAATATAAACATGTAATATAAATATATACCTTGTTGATGGTTGCCAAGAAAAATTTATAAAAACGGTACTTCAGGGCTTGAATTCCCAAATGGCTTGAATCAAGACCCACATCACTTGAATCTTAGTAAAAAATGGTGTATTCAATTTCTTGCAAGTCGTTCATAACTTTATCCATTCAGTCATCTATGTTAGAAAAATATACTAAAAGCCATGTTTTTGTGTAATGGGATTTAGTATTTGGATTTATTAATATCAATTATTCCAGATTTAATGAGAATCATTATGAGTCATATTTGCATTATATTATTTGTCTAATATTCTACATGTGTGTCATCTATTCTACAAAGTATATAATCTGGTGTGTAAAGTTCAGCTTACACACGGAAGATCAGATCATTAGTCTTGTAGAATATAAGTGGTTCACAGTCTAAGATGGATTTGGACACACCATTGGTACAACTGTAGCATGGTGTTTAAGTAGGTCTGTCTTGACTATATAGGAAACGGTAAAGTTTCAACTCATTGTGCTGGTACGTTTTGTGTGTATTGAGCAAGACCATCTTAGGATAATTGTTCATATACTAATTAGATGAGACAATTTACATCCCATAATTATTATGAGTGTTTATGCTCTTAATCTGAAATAATTAATAATCACGTGCATTTAGTGTTGGTCATTTTGATTCATAAAAGAGTGAGATTCTTTATGGCTCAATAAGCTTAGTGAGTTGGGTGATCACTTTATGTGTATGGTGGATATTGATTATTGACAGAATCTACATCCCAGTTTAGGGATTGATAATACCCCCTTAAAGAAGCTTATAAGTTTTGATTATGTCAAACACTGCAGGTGGATTTTGTATCCGACATACCAAATAAGTTAAGTGGAAGGTCTCAAGGAAATATTAAGAAGTCGATTAAATTTAATTGTCCAAAATTTAGTTAATTGACGGTTATTAGTAATCTTAACGTGGGGAGATAAACAAGCATTTAATAATGTGGAGCTCGAAATATAATTTGGAGATTAAGATGGAAGTGCAATTATAATTCTTTGAGTTTGGCTCCTCTCCAAATTGGAGGATCCTCCAATCTACATCCAATGGCCAAAATCTTTACATTAAACCCATCCCATCTTAAGGCCATGTGGTTATGCACACGTAATCATACCCAACTTTTATCATCTTCATCACAAGAGAAAGAAAATCCCTTATTCTCTGTGAAATCCTCTCTTGCTCTAGCACCAATACACTATACCTATACCGCCCCCTCTACTACAACTCCACCGATCCACCTTCTTACTCCTATCCCTTGCCTTGCCTACCATTGCCAACTCCAAATTCTCAGCATTATCTGCCTCTTATGAGTCCTCAAATACCCCCAGCCCAATCTCTCTCTCTCGCTCTCTACAAATGCCTTTCGAGCAAATTAGTTTTCCAAAATTGATTTCTCAACCACACAGATTGAGTTTGATTAATATGAGAGAAATTAATTGCAATTTCAAAATCTTAATATATGCACACAAGATATATATATATAATCCAATGTATTCATTGATTTTAGATATGCATGTATCAAACACAATGATGTCCAATTGTAAATGTAATTAACTAAAAAATATCTTAATTTGTATCATTTTCTTTTTTGATGGAAATAGTTTGATCCTTGAAGCTATCAACGTTTTATGCTTACATTACTGTGATGGACATGGAAGAGTGTGGTTTTCTCAAGGACGTTCACATAGAGAGAGGGAGAGAGACAAGATAAGAACGATTGGGGCTGGGGTAAAGTCTAGAGAGAGAGAAGAGGCCGTCAAAAAAAAAAAAAAAAGGATTTTGTGGGCAAGAAGAGAAGAGAAGAAACAAAGAACTGATTGATTAAAGCGTTTTGGTCCATTGGATGCAGTAGTTGTCACGTGTCATACAATTAGAAAGCACTGGAAGATCCTCCAATTCTAATAGGATTGGAGAGGAGCCGAATTCTAATTCTTTAGTGGTATGAATGATGATTTATAAAATTAGGAATTATAATTCAGGTTGAATTAAGTTTTCTTAATTCCATAGGAGGTCCTAATCCTAATCTACTCCTAATGGTCCCTGTCGTAGTATATATATATAATATATGCGTCCTTGTAACTCTATAGAAGATACAATTTTTCGGGTTTAGAGAGAGAGCAAGAAAGTTCAAGTTTTTTAACCCACACTCAATTCGTGATCAGGCATAAGAAAGGAATACAGTAGAAAATCGTAAGATGCAACCGAGTTCGGAATTCATCAACTACAATCTTTTGTTCATCATTTAAACAAGATCAAACCAGACAGATCTTGATGGTATAAACCCTAATTCCACCTTGTTGGGTTTTATAGATCATTGTAAATTTATTTATTTTTTTGGTCTAATCTATAAGCGACATCACTAGGTCTTGGAAATTTGGTCCCAATAACCTACCCATTCAGTCATCTATATTGCACGTTGATTTAGAGGGCTATTGTTAGTACATTTCAAGTTTTTCCTCCACAGCCATACATTTCAAGTGTTTCTCCTTATAATTTGACGCATTGCATAATATCAAATTCAACAAGTTAATAGAACTGATATATGTGATGTGTCGTTGATATGATATGCTTTTATGTTTGATTTGAGCTAGGAAGTGTATTATATGGTCTTTCGTAAGTTCTCTCATTAATTAGTACTCGTTTGAATCAATTTTATTGTGGCTCTTCTAAATAGTACGAAAGGTTCATGTATTCTAATTCTTGAGAATTAGTGCCCTTTATTTATTCATGAAAGATCTAAAACTCTATTTGTCTCTACCCAATTCGCCAGTGTCAAAAAAAAAATTATCAAAGTATAAAAGAAATCTTTTTCTAAATAGGAATTATAGAAGAAACCTAACAGTTTTTTTTTTTTTTCAAATTGGTACTTAGCATTGGCGGTTAAGCATTTTTACTTATGTTTTTGGGAAACATCTAACATAGTATTAATCTCGTCCCCCCAACCAAAACATCTCAACCCCAGTTTATATGTTAGAAAGAAGACCTCTAAAACCAAAGCTCCACAATGGTAAGATATCAAACATATTTCCATCTCACCACATTTATCATCCTAAAAAAAATAAAAAAAAAATCCTTCCACATGTTCAAGCCTTTTAGTAACCCACAAGAAGTGATGGAAGGTAAACCCTAAGCAAGTAGATATGCCAAACACAACACTACTAATTGGGGCAATCTTCCTGCCCATTTTAAGTTTTCAATGGTTGAGACAAAAAGTTTGACTAACTAATCCATTTAACCTAGGTTGAGTTAAAAAAAAAGTTAAATTGGATAACCAACAACCTACCCAACCTTTTTTTTTATAAGTGCAACAACACACCCACATCCTTACACTTAAGAAGGTCAAGTATACCTTGAATGTATAATTGTCACATTCCAATCATACGACTTATAGAGGTGCAAAAAAAGAAAATATAGAATTAGGCCCCCCTTCAATTATGTAGTAGAAGATCCACCACACCATTGAGGAACACCCATCCACTCCACTTCACTCCAGGAAAGCAAAGAAGTCCACAGCTCTCTTGCTACTTGGCAATGAATGATGAGAAGGTGATTCATCAATTCGCTATCTTTCTTGCACATTCTTCAAATAAAGTTGCCTATAGTAAGAATCTTACCATGAGTAGCACACCACACAACAAAAAGCCATCTTGGGAGGAGCCCTAGGGCCATATTGCTCTCCAAGGAAATAAAGACGTGTGCCAACCAACCAATGATTCATAATAAGATTTTACTTGAAAGAAACCCAATCTAAATAGAATCCATCTCAATGAATCCTCCCTTGCCCCAATATTCAACATCTCGTACAATATCTCCATGGGCCCCATTAGAAAATAAGGGATTATATTCAAGCAATGGAGGAGCTATAATAGCTTAAATTTAGATTCAAGTATTTAACAACTTACATTTTCAGTTTCAGTTTCAACAACACTCAAGGATAATCTAGGAGCATATGCTGATGGAATGGAAAGATAAAGAGAGTATCTGAAGGCAATCTCAAGGAAAAACTGGAAAAAGAATAAAATATAAGATTCTACTTGCACAAGGATCTTAATAAAATAGCTCCCCATTAGGTCTCTCAGTCTAACTTCTATAGCTAATTAATCCTATATAATTGTAAATTGAACCTCAAATTCATTTATTTCAAGTCCATCCATCCATCCAGTTATGCAAATGCCACCTTAAGGTTTAAATCATATCTATATTACCTAGTTTCTAACAAAGAATATTAATCATGCATATGTATATAACTCCAGGCAACAATTGGAAATAAAATCAAAAAATTTAGGCACTAAATGCAGAAAAAGAACACCTAGACCATCATAGTTTTGGTTGCTTCACTCTGGCTACTCTTCTTGATAGTTATCTTCATTTATCACAACTTCTCTTACATAACCAATAAATGGGTTTTCCCTTTATGCAATAGAATAGATACAAGCAATGAACAACCATTTCTTAAACTTACATTCAGATGTTCTCATCTCAGGTTCATATTCAAAAACTCTCCTAGACTGTGTTTGAATCATGAATTTAGAAAGGGATTTTGGATTCATGGAGCTTCGATCTTAGATCTTTGACAGGTTTGTCTCTCTTCACTCTCTTCCTTCACACTCTCTCCTTTGTCTCTCCTCCTTGCCGTGTCTCATGTCGTGTCCAGATCTGGACACGCGTGTCCCCTACAAGAAAAACAATTAAATTAAAGGGACACGGCAAATGGCGTGTCCCGTACGTGTACCCGGTGTGTCCCCATGTGCAACACCGCCACGGCACTGATTTTGCCGTGTCTATGCTTCATAGCCTAGGGCCATATTGCTCTCCAAGGAAATAAAGACGTGTGTCAACCAACCAATGATTCATAATAAGATTTTACTTGAAAGAAACCCAATCTAAATAGAATCCATCTCAATGAATCCTCCCTTGCCCCAATATTCAACATCTCGTACAATATCTCCATGGGCCCCATTAGAAAATAAGGGATTATATTCAAGCAATGGAGGAGCTATAATAGCTTAAATTTAGATTCAAGTATTTAACAACTTACATTTTCAGTTTCAGTTTCAACAACACTCAAGGATAATCTAGGAGCATATGCTGATGGAATGGAAAGATAAAGAGAGTATCTGAAGGCAATCTCAAGGAAAAACTGGAAAAAGAATAAAATATAAGATTCTACTTGCACAAGGATCTTAATAAAATAGCTCCCCATTAGGTCTCTCAGTCTAACTTCTATAGCTAATTAATCCTATATAATTGTAAATTGAACCTCAAATTCATTTATTTCAAGTCCATCCATCCATCCAGTTATGCAAATGCCACCTTAAGGTTTAAATCATAACTATATTACCTAGTTTCTAACAAAGAATATTAATCATGCATATGTATATAACTCCAGGCAACAATTGGAAATAAAATCAAAAAATTTAGGCACTAAATGCAGAAAAAGAACACCTAGACCATCATAGTTTTGGTTGCTTCACTCTGGCTACTCTTCTTGATAGTTATCTTCATTTATCACAACTTCTCTTACATAACCAATAAATGGGTTTTCCCTTTATGCAATAGAATAGATACAAGCAATGAACAACCATTTCTTAAACTTACATTCAGATGTTCTCATCTCAGGTTCATATTCAAAAACTCTCCTAGACTGTGTTTGAATCATGAATTTAGAAAGGGATTTAAAAAGAAAAAGAAAACTTTCCCTTTCTAAATCCTTATTCAAATTGCTGATCCAAACACAGCCTTACTGGATTCAAACCTCAACACCCTTTTAAAACCCTAATTTAAACTTATCCCCATTAAACCCTGTGAGTCAATTAGGAGACCAGTACTAATCTAAGTATTAAGATTACAAAATAATCAAAATATTTTCAAGAGTAGTATCAAAATAAACAGCATACAAAAGGGGTAATTATCATAGTTATAGTATGAATAGAATCAATCAGATTGACAGTTACGTAAAACCCTATAAAGAACCAACCTTAGCGAGTTCTTCGTGTTTTGATAATGTCTTTGCTTTAATCTCTGCTCTACCAATCCATCTTTTTTAATACTCTGTGTTTTGGTTGGTTGGTTGGTGCACAAAAAATTTAAAATTTAAGTGAAAGCCTACGTAACGAGTGGCGTGGCAGATAACGTTAAAATATACCCCCAAAAAAATTTAAATTAAATTAAATAACAAATACACTCCTGATGAATAGTTAAACTACAGAAAATCTCCTATAATTTAGAAAATTATAAATATTCTTTTATAAGATTTTTTTTTATTTAACAGAATTAATTAGAAAAATGAAATTCCTAACTATTTTCCTATATAATAATAAAATTACCTGAATTATTAATTAAAATATATTTTTAATATTATTAAAAATTGTTAATTGACTTTATAATTTATTGATAAAATAAGTCATTTGTTATGAAATTAGAAACGTTAAAAGTTGGGATGTAATTTTTAGAACCGCTTGATTTTGTAATTTATCCAAAATTTTAAGATAAATTATAAATATACTCTTTGAGATTTACTTATAATACTTATTGTTTTCTATGGTTTAAAAAATTACAAATATCTGATTGTCAAGATTTTTTATTTAACAGAGTTAACTTAAAAAATGAAATTCTTAACTACTCTATTATATAATAATAAAATTACATGAATTATTAATTGAAATGTATTTATGAACATCATTAAAACTGTTAATTGAATTAATAATTTATAAATAAAATGAGTTATTTGTTATGAAATTAGAAACTTCAAATGATGAAATGTAATTTTCAAAATCACATAAGATAATTCTTATTTTAAGCAAATCTTAAAGGGTATATTTATAACTCATCTAAAATTTTATGTACACACCCTAAACATGTGTAATAGTTATGATGTTTGTCCTTTTAATTATTGTTTATTGTGACTATTATTTTGATTGTAATTAAAAGGGATTTTTAATTGTATCGTATGTGGGATTTAATCATGATTTTTTTTTTATCCGTATTTAATTATGATTCATTATCTTTTTTAGTTATGATTGTTAAAAATTTAATTCTACATATGATAGCCAATAAAGATAAAATAGGCTAAAATAATTGATAAGACAAAATATCACATCTAAATTATAATCGTTTCATTTATTCTTTCACAACAATTAAATCAACTACTCCCTCCGTCCCAAAATATTAACCAATTTAACTTTTTTGTGGTATAATTATTACACTTTAAAAATATTAACTTTCAAAATTACCCTTTGATAGTACACTTTTTGAGAATATCAATTGTCATAATTGTACTTTTTATATTGTTAATAAATTTAAAATAATGACAAAATAGAAAATTTATGTTATTTTAATCCTTGATATTTTAAAATAGACTAATATTTTGAGACAATGAAAATAAAGCATGGAGCAAAAAAAAAGCCACCTGTTTTAATAAACACAACTTTTTTTAACCATAGTAAAATAATTAAAAAAATCAAAAAACTAATTAAAATAACCAAGTTCCTGCAGGGCCATAAAATATGCAAAATTTATTTATAAACATAATTCAATAATGGGTAATTATTTAATATTCTTGAAATACCACATGTTTATACTGCCTTATCAATTATCATTTAATATGCCTTTTCATATTCCCCAATCACCCAACACAATATTTCACCCACCCACCTCTTCTCCACAAATCATAATACTATAAAATACCACGTGTTTATAATTCGAAATTACTGAATAATTACCGTTCAATAATGTGGTAAGAACGTTTTTAATATTTGGGATTTAAAAATCTCATATATATGAAACTTATAAACGGCTTTCTATTAACTTAAACAGCAATATTACAAATTTATACTTAACTACTTAAAAATTATTTAAAATTGTCATCATATGATTTAGATTTATTCTATACATAAATCTCATACTACAGGGATTTAATCTCCAATCACAAACTCCCATCTAAAAAATTCTGAATGATTAATTCTGGCACCACAGACTTTTTCTGAAAGTCTTTATGTCAAATGACAAAAAAAAAGTCAAGTGAATATTGTATTAATTATGGTTATCAAATCAAATCCACAATTATCTTGAAAAAAAAAAAAAAAAAAAAAGAGAAAGAGAGAAATTACCCCTCAGTTATATTATGAAAAAATTACTGTAGATTAATGAAAAAGTTTATGGTTTTAATTATTAATGTATATAAATTTAGGATGCTTAGTCCATAAATCTAATTTGAATTTATTTTTTTTTTTCAAGGATCTGCACTCTAAAATACTTTGTATATAAGAACAAGCTCCCGCAAATGACCAAACTACCCATGTGAAATTGTTTGGCAGGTGGCCACAACTTTTTCAAGGATCGTTTGGCAAGTGATTTTTTTAGTTAAAAAGTCAAAAAGTCACTAAAAAAATCAAAAAGTCAACAATCCATACCAAAAAGTCAAAGATTTTCTTTTCTCTCTACTTTTTACACATCTTTTCGTAAAAAGTCAAAAAGTCATCCCAAATATACTAATTTTTTTTAGCTTATATTTTAGCCAAATAGCCAAAAAGTTACTACATTAGCCTGTTCCCAAACGAGGCCTAAATATTGTTTCCAAACCAAGCCCTAATTAGGGCTATGCAAAATACCACACAATCCGCTGAAATTGCACCGATCCCCATCAATTCGCATCGCTCTATCCGCTAACCACGGATTGAACTTTAAAATTTATAATTCGTCTTTCAAACTGCTCTGCTCCGCTATAGTTAATACATATATATTTTTTAACCTCCAATATAATATCAAAGTAAAAATGAGTGTGAAGGAAATTTAAAATGTGAAATTTGTTACAAATTAGTAATTATATATATGAAACATATTATGTAAAATTAATTTATGTTATATATATAATATTATACAAATTAGTATTATATATTATGCAAATGTTTAATAATTGGTTAGAATATTTTTCAATCTATCAATTCGCCAAAAACCACCCAAACCGTGATTTGCCAATCTGCTAATTCGCCATTGAATTTGTAATTTTACTCTCAAACCGTCAGAATCACACCATGCACACCCCTAGCCTAACCATTTTGTCACACTCTCTCTCTCTCTCTCTCTCTCTCTCTCTCTCTCTCTCTTCGCTAATTGTTTTGGGCCATTTCCCAAAATAAGCCAAATTAGCAACCTATTTCCCAAACTAGGCCTAGTTTGGACAGAATTCCCAAACTAGGCTAAAACGTGATTCACAACCACGCTTTCAACGTTTTTGTGACTGTCACGCGGCAATTTCCTAAAATCGTAAAAGCATGTTTCCAAACCACGCTTTTTAATTAAGAAAGCGTGGTTACAAACCACGCTTTTAATTAATTTTTTTTTCCTGAAAGCGTGGTTGTGAACCACGCTTTTAACTGATTTTTTTTTTCTTCTGAAAACGTGGTTGTGAACCACGCTTTTAACTAAAAAAAATTTTCTTCTGAAAACGTAGTTTTGAACCATGCTTTTAACTAAAAAAAATTTATTCTGAAAACGTGGTTGTGAACCACGCTTTTAAGCAAAAAAAATTTCGTTTTTAAGTGAAAGCGTGGTTCGTAACCACGCTTTTAAAACTTATATAAAAACTCCCCCAGCCCTCATTTGCAATCACGCTTTTCACACTTAGGTTTTTTCGACAACTCACTGCTCTCTCTTGCTCTCTCTTACTCTCTGCTCTCGCTCTCGGTCTCTCTCTGCTCTCGCTCTCTTTCTGCTCTCGCTCCCTCTGCTCTCAAACTCTCTCTCTGCTCTCAGTCTCTCTCTCTGCTCTCTTTCCGTCCGTGGGTTGCTCTTTCTCGCTGGTATGGCATCCGTCTCTCTCTGTCTCATTTGAATTTTATGTGTTTATTGTGTTTGTGAAAATGTGAATGTGGGTACAATGTGGGTATAATGTAGGTAGAATAGGGTTCATGAATGTGAAAATGTTGTGAATTGATGGAAATGTTAGTAGAATAGGGTTTGTGACTATTAAAATGTTGTGAATTGAAATTGATATCAATGTGGGTAGAATATGTTTTGTGAATTGAAATTGTGATTTTGAATTTGTAAAATGTTGTGGTTTTGAATTGTGAAAATTTTCTAGGGTTTTCAATTGAATGTGAAATCATGAATTAGGGTTAGGGTTTTGAATTGTGAAATCAGAAATGAGGGTTATGGTTTCAAAAATTAGGGTTTCAGAAATTTATGATAAGTTAAATTTTTTTAATAATGTTATATGATTTTTTTTAGGAACAAATTATGTAAAAACGTAGTTCCAAATCGAGCCGAATTGTGTTTAAATGATTTGGGTCAAATTGGTTCAATAATTTTAATAATTTAATTTGATTACAATTTTTTTTAAACCATAGACAATTAAACTTAAAAAATGAAAGGCAATTTTGGGCAATTAGACATGCTTTTGGCGTTTTGTATTAGATTCATTATTTTGGCGTTTTATGTTAAATTCAAGCAGCTTTCATTCTTTTATAGATGTTATAGAAATGATAAAATTGAAATAAATTAAAAAAATTAAGAAACAAAATAGAACAAATTTTAATGACACATAATTAAGGGGTAAAGTATATGATCTTGTATTACATTGGTATCCTCTCTAACTTTTTCATAGTAAATGATGCAAGCTCAAACCATCATTTAGGAGGAATTATCATATCTTTCAAAAATTTTAATTAAATTGTGTGTTTTTTTAATTTTATTAATTGTTTTATATAATACATAGGAGAAAAAAATAAGAAATAATAAATATGCAACCAATAGAATTGCAAGAATATATTATATAAGATATAGAATGGACCTATGTGATAATTTTTTCTCATTTAAGTTGAACCCCTTTCCATTTTTCTTAAATTTAGGCTATAGTAATTTCTTCCCATTGCACCAAAAAAAAAATTTAATAAATAAAAAAAATAATTGTGAATTACAAATATATTTTATAGGGTTTTGAATTGTGAAATCAGAAATTAGGGTTATGGTTTCAGAAATTAGGGTTTTGAATTGTGAATTCTGTCTATATTTTTTGCATTGTGAATTGTGAATCTTGTTTACATTTTTTGAAATTAGGGTTTTCAATTTTGAATTGTGAATCCTATCTATATTTTTTGAATTGAAAATTTTATTTTTTGCTTGTTAATCCTGTCGATATGGTTAAATCTTCTTATTCTTTCGCTTATCTCTTAAGCTTCA